CCCCAAAACCCCAAAACCCCAAAACCCCAAAACCCCAAAACCCCTAAAGACAATTTGGTGTTGATCGCAAATAAGTTACTCCTTAAAATCTATACATGATTTAATTAATTTCTTGATTGGTGAATCTCGGATCTAATACAATTCCTCGGGATGAAGAGACGAAAGGACGAAGAGAAGAACAGGGGAGAGGAGTTACTCCTCTTAGTTCACCATTCTTGGTATTTTAAGGACCCTCTTTACTTATTCTATAATATCTTTGACTAGAGTAGAAAGATTCTTTCTCCAAAATGGAGAAATACACCAAGAAGAAATAGATATTGTTTTTGGTTTTTATGAAGAATTATGGTATAGATTTTGATTCCAAGCCAAACGATTTGCTTAAGCTTCTAGATCGCCATCACTTTATGAAGCCGTTGCTGTAATTGTGACATTGTGCTCTTGCCAGTCACTATTCAGGTTAATATCTACCAAGAGGTTATTCTCAATATATGACCCAGCGAAATTGGTGAAGCATTTGAGGTAAGTATCTACTTCAGCTTCAAGATCTGGAAGATTAATAGAAGCGGCGACGCTTGTTTCCATGTCAAATTGAGCCTCTGGAGATAGTCCGTCATTAACTTCAAGTCCACCAACCCAAGTATGAGAAACATCAATACCAGCTCCAGCCCAGTATCCTTCTTGGTAATGGGATCCGAACAAGAGAGTATGCAACTGAGCGTTGGAAGTACATTGCAAAGAAACACAGAGGAAACTTATTCCAAATCCAGCTGATCCATCAGCTATATTGAAGCTATCATCAGAGTCAAAGCATATAGCAGTGGCTGTATCGAGGAGATGAAGATTAGAGTTTAGGCTCATTTGAAAATGAACCTTTCTATTTTCAGCAGTAGTATCTTCATCTTGGAGTGAGAATTGAGCTCCTCCTCCAACATCAATAGTCAATGGTCCAGCTGCCACCAAAACGCTTGAGAGCAAGAGTACGGTCAGTACAATAAATTTATTCATTTGTTAATTATTAATTGTGGATCAGTTTTATTTCTTATATACGGGGTTTTGGGGTTTTGGGGTTTTGGGGTTTTGGGGTTTTGGGG